AATGTTTAACTACTCTTTCAGTAAAGAAATTACAGTTTTCTTACAATCCCCCCCACCCCCGGCCGGCTGAATTCCCTTCCCTAGAAGTGGGGTTAATTACTGAGGGTGAGCATGGTTACTCATACACGCCTGATACCGTTGCATTTGTGTGCGTGTTTGCTCTCGGCCCCACGGTTTCGGGGGGAAGATAGCAGCTTTTGTTTCTTATCTCCTCCGGTTTTCTGCCTCCCTTGCATCTTCGTATCGCATCTCCGTTACGGTGATTAAATAAACTGTATCCAAAAAGCATTCCAGGTCGGGTTTACCATGGCGTTTCCAGCCTTCGCTGCTGCTGATGTAATTTCGCAGACCCCTCGCCCACGCGCTCCCCGGGGTCTCCCGTGCCCTGAGGGCAGGACAGGAAAACTACAGACCCGCAAAATGGCACCGCGGCATTCGCCGTCCTCCCTTCGCCTCCCCTTGCCGTTCGGCGTGGCCGGATTTGGATGCGGACATGGAGTTGAGGGGGCAATTGCAAGGGAAAGACCCGAGAGAAAAACCATCTCTGAGGCCGCAGGGCGTGAGCTGGCAAAACCAAGCGCACGACACCAAGGCCAAAGTGCTGCCTGCAGCTGGAACAAGGGTGCAGCGACCTCTGCGGTGCCAGCTCTGCGCCTCCTGGGCATAAATCGCTTTTGTCCTGTCTCTCCAGCCACCGAATCCCCACGACTTTTAAAACCGCGGCCGAGACCTCGACTGGCCTCCTCCAGAAGCCGCATCAGCCCGAGAGGGAGACAGCTTCGTGCCCAGCCGACAAGCAGAAGCGAGGTGACGGAGGGAGCGTCGCCACCGGCCGCGCTGGCGGCACGCCGCTGCAGGGAAACGCGTGGTTCTCGTAAAGGGGAAGGATGGGAACCTTCTCCTTTACCGAGGGGCCACTCGGCGAGACCTGCTCTGCGATGAATAGCGCCGTCAGCGCAGATAGAGGAGGGGGTGGACCTCGCCATCTATATAAAGCGAACCCGCTAAGCCGGCAGTCTCGGAGCTGCGAAGTCCGGGCAGGGTAAGGAGAGAGGGGATTTTATTGCCCTCTTATTTCGTCAGGCAGCTTGGGGGGCGGCGGTGGGAGGCTGCAGACGGTGAGCTTCTCCGTCAGTCCCGGGCAGGACAACCGCTGTGTCCCTGTACGCATCCCTGCCAAGCGCCGCATCCCAAAACCGGAGTCAAAAGGCCCCACTGGGCGTCGGCTGTGTGCGCTCGGGCACGGGGGTACCTTCACAATGCTGTATATCCACAGTGACACTAATGTCACCGTGCGGTGCTGCCAGGGTGCACCCGACCGGCTCCCTGCCCTCGGCGCGGGCACAGGGGCAGCATCTGTCCTGCCCCCGGGGTGCTGCTCATCGCCCGCCGTTGCTGTTTCCTCCTCCAGGGCCAGCCCGAGGATGAAGAATCTCCTCTTTGCCGTGCTCTTGGCTTGCGGTAAGTGCCCCGGTTTCACCGGGCCAGGCTGGGGTCTCGTCTGCCTGGCAAAAAAGACGTACAAACCCAGCGTCTTTGCGCATGTTTCAGGTTTTTGTTTAAATTTTGCAGTTTCTCCCTAATGCTTCGTGTAGCACTGCTGTAGTCCTGGAGGTCTTCGTGACGGTGAGGCTTTGAGACGCTGAGATCCATATTTATTTTAAGAGGCCCTGGAGCCTGTTGTCACCTGCTTTCCTGCCTGTGCCAAGCCCATGGCTGATCCTGGCAATGTGGCATTGCCGGTTGCAGGATGCAAGCGCGGCACAGCCTGTACAGAGAGCGATAATATCTTCTGCCAGACTGAATCAGGTAGCTGCAGAAACCAGACATAACCCTGAGGTGGTTTTTTTGGAGCTTCTCATGGTTCACGTGCCTGAAAGCATGTATTTCCAGCAACGCCAGACTTATTTAATTCCTCTGCCTGGTGCGAGGCGCGGGGAACGCTGCCTGCCTCCTCGCTCTGCACCGGCGCGAGCCCGTCCCTCTGCCCCTCCGCAGGGCTGCTGCCGGCTCGCGGCAGCGTTTTGGAGCTGGAGCAGATGATCAAGTCAGCCACGGGGCAAAGCGCCCTGCTCTCCTACAGCTGGTACGGGTGTTTCTGCGGCATCGGGGGCAGAGGGACCCCGGTGGACTCCACCGACCGGTGAGTACCCGGAAAACCATCGCCGCTCGCCGCCCCGGTGCAGGGTGCGCGGGGGTCCCTAAAAATCTCCTCGCTGGCAGCCTGCCGGCGCTGGTGTGCTCTGAGCGGGGGTTTTACACCGTTTTGCTGGGGATCCACTGGGATCCCCTCCTCCCGGTCACCTTAAATTTGAGGCTGGACCTTCCTTTACCTTCCAAGCGTGGTGAGGGAGGGTTTGGGGGCAGCGGTTTGACACGGTGTCCCCCGCAGGTGCTGCTACGCCCACGACTGCTGCTACAGGAAGCTGCGAGAGGGCAAGTGCCGACCCCTGATAACCCCCTACCTCTTTGACGTCGCCAACGGAGACATCATCTGCAGTGAGTACTGCCGAGCCGGGGCGGGGTGGGGGTGTCCGACGGAGGTGGGGAACCAGCACCGCTCCCCGTGACACCCCAGCCCCGGAGCAGGGTACACAGGAGGGCGTCCCCCCCGGGGATGAAACCAGCCCGACGCCCGGTCGGGTGCATACGGGAGGACGCAGCGTACGATAAATAAATGGGCATTGGAAGGGATGCGGGCAGGCTGGAGAGGATGAGCACCGAGGCACGCTTCTTCAAGCGCTTCCCCTGGGCAGCTCCAGGCATTGGGGGTGCTCCAAGGGGACCCCATCGCCGATGCCAGCTGGAAAAGCCACCGCAGAGCACCGTGTTTTTTCCCCGCAGGTAACGAGCAGAGCTGGTGTAAGAGAGAGACCTGCCTATGCGACAAGGCGGTGGCTTCGTGCTTCGCGAGCGCTTTGCATTCCTACAATAAATCCTACCGCTTCTATTTCAAGCTGAAATGCCGAGGAAGTAAGCTCCAGTGCTGAGGAGGGGACATCTGCGTCCAAGGTTGCAGATTTTGACTGGTTTTCCTCATCGCTACGGAAAGAAAAGCCTGATGTGGGGGGCTGAACAAAGCGGGAGCCATCAAGGCTCCCCGCAAGGTGATGCTCGGGGTGAGGAAGGGCACGCACACATTACAGATGGAGATCCCCCAGTTCCCAGAAAGACACGTCAGCTTCCATTTTTTTGGTCCCTTCCTCCTCTCTTTTTTCTCTTGATTTTACTTCCCAGCAAAGATAACTAAATAAAAGGTATTTGAAATGATTCTCCGTGGTGTTTTTCCGTAAGAGCCGCTGAGATTGAGGCACTGCAACGGCGGCATCTGGGCTGCCGAGTTTGGGGAGCGCTTTTGCATCTCACACCTTAGCCACGCCATCTGTCTGACACCCCAATATTTCCGTGGTCCCGACAGCAGCCTGAAAAAGCCGAAGGTCCGACAGCGGCTGTAACTCGCAGGTCTATCGCCAGGTCTATCCCGCTGCCGAGCAATATTGCTGCTGCCGGATCCCCAGCTACGGAGGAGCACGTTGCATTGAGAAACGGGGACAAATAAATGCCACCAAGTAAAAGTCCCCGGGGTTTGTTAACAAAGTAATTCCCCAGAGGCAAGCCCTGATGGCAGTCGGGTTTTTTGGCTTCTCCCAACGCCCCTTCCCGCTAGCTGAACTCACTCCCGGAGCTAAAACAAAACGGTGCATTAAGGGGCAGGTGAGATACAGCCAAAAGGTGTTTTCACAGGAATAATGGAAGTGGGAATGTGTGGGCAGCAATTTGAGGCCCTCCTGTGACGCTCACGTAAAAATGGTGGCCAAAATTAAGGCTAAGGAATAGTTATCTGCAGAGGAGGGAAGATTTCAAAGCCTCGTCCATCCCAAGGCGGATGCTAATTTAGGAGGGCGGTTAAGTTGGTGACTAAATGGTTTCTCCGCAAGGGAAGAGCTCTGCAGAGGGGTCGCAGTGAGGAGTTGGAAAAATCCTACAGAGAGAAATAAAGGGAAGTTGCATTCACTCATCTCAAAACATCCATTTTGCTTCATTCTCCTCTCACGGTGGGCGAGCCTTTAATCATCCAGTGTCTGCGTAACCCTGTGTTTCTGCCAGCTGCACATTTAGAGATGCTTTTATTGTTGTCCATGTACTTCTCCCAAAGAACCGGTGACTTGCTCTGAATCGCCTTCGCGGCGTGGCAGAGGGACAGTTCCCAAACCGCACCACCCCTCGAAAACCCCAAACCCGCTTCGTTCGTGGCTGCCGGGATCCCAAAGCTGAATCGGGGCTATTATTTCCTCCCCGATACAGCACCGTGGTGCTGGGAAGGGCAGAAGAAAAAGACCCTCGGGCATCTCCGGCCCCGGGGCAGAGAGCGTTGGCTTCCTCCTCGGGCTGGAAATGACGCTGCTTTGCCGGCTCATCCCGCCCGACGCCAGCCCCCGTGTGTGGGATACGGAGCCAGGGCGCTGGGGGGGATTTCTTGCATTCCTGTAAAGGGGAAGGACGGCACCTTCTCCTTCACAGAAAAGCCCGGTCAGCAAGATTTGGGCAAAACGAGCATCCGACAGCGGGGAGCAAACCCTATATAAGGAAAGCCCTGCCGGCTGCAGGGCCCTGCAAGCAAGCGGCGGCTTTCCCGAGGTAAGCGGGGACGGAGAAACGCTTTCCCTCCCGTCCCTACTTTGACCAAAAGCCACGGCGCAAGCGGGGAGCGAGGTCCATGCCGGGAAAGCAGGAGCAAAGGAGAGGCTACCTGCGATGCCAGCCCAGGGGCAGAGCAGCGGGGTGCAGCCCTCAAGGGCTGATCGTTCCTCCAACTTTTCTTCCTTTCCCTTCATTTTGCTTTTTCCCACCCCTCCGCCATCCGATTCCCATCGCTTCCCATCCCTGGAGGTGGGGAGCAGCTCTAGCCCCCAGACAAGGGGGGGAAGTAAAGAAGAAAGCGGTTGATACAATGGGGAAATTACACAGGTTTGGTTTCCTTTCCCAGGGCCGCCAAAAAGATGAACTCTCTCCTCGCCTTCGCTGTGCTCTTTGCTTGGGGTAAGTGCCCTCGCTCGCACCAGTCCCACGGCCCTCCGTGCAGTTGCACCCGTGGAAATTAGGACCAGACCGCTGATTTCTTCATCTTTCCTCATGACCACCTCTCTGAAACACGCAACAACTCTCCTGCGCTGAGCCGGGGATACATTTCTTCTCCGTTGCATCTACTTATTTTTAAGACAGCACCAGCCTGGTACCAACCCAGGGAGGAGAGGGCTGCGGGGATGCTGCTGGGGAGCCGGGTGTCGGTGTGAGCCCCACCGATTTTGCCCCACAGGCTTGTCCCCAGCTTGCGGGAGCCTCTGGGAGCTGGCCAAGATGATCACGAAGGTGACGGGGAAAAACGCCTTGCTGCATTACTCCTTCTACGGCTGCTACTGCGGCTTGGGGGGCAAAGGGAAGCCCAAGGACGCCACAGACAGGTAAGCGCCCACTTAAAAATCTCCCTGCCCGAACACATCCTTGCCTGGTTTCAAATTTGGGGTGGGGGGGTAGGGGGAAAACCAATCCCCAAAGCCTCGAGCACCCGTACAGATGCTGCCAGCTGCATGATACCTGCTACAACAACCTCCTGAGCTACCGCTGCAATGCCAAGATGCAGGTCTACCACTACGACTGGCACAGCAGCAGCCCCTCCTGCAGTAAGTAGGACCCTGGCAAAGGGGGTGTCGTCGTGTGTGTCCCCCCCCCGCAAGCCAGGGCTGACCCTGGGCTCCTCTCCGCCTGCAGGACAGAGGCCCTGGTGCGCCCAGCCCTCCAGAGGTCCTGGTGCGCCCAGCTCTCCTGCGAGTGCGACCACAGCCTGGCGCTTTGCCTGAAGCGAAGCATCGGGAGCTACAGCAAACGCTACCGCTTCTACCCCAAGTGCTGGTGCCGGTGACGAGCGCCGGGATGCGGGGCCGGAGCACACGCGCTGGTTCTGCATCTGGATCAACCTACGTCCCCGCCTGCATGGGCCACGTTAGCGCTGCTGTAAATTTAATCAACGTGAAAATAAACAACGTGCTTAAACCTGTGAGCTCTGTGAGGTCCCCTGTGAGCTGCTGCTGGGCAGAGAGAGAAAGCCCTGTAAATACTCGACATCATCCTCCCCAAACACACCCCAAACTTTGCAAAAAACTCTGCCTCGGCCCCTGCGTCACTCCAGGCTGCAGCCCACGGGGAGAGGGGGGTTTGGCCGGCGAGGGAAGGGGCGTAGCATAAAGCGTTTTTGGGACAGGCAAGTCATTTCAACGCTTCCAGTTCAGAGCCCGCGGGCCGGACGCGGAGGGCAGCGCTCTCCCCAGGAGGACAGGCTGCCAGCGAGGAATCGGAGCTGGAGCGATCCCCCGGTGAGCGACTCCCACCCTCGCCCCGCTGCTGCGGAAACAAAACTACTGGGGGGGGGGGATAGGGGGTGTGATGTTGGGAGGAGGCAGCAGGCGTGCTGCTTTCTGCTGTTTTCCATGCCTGTAGATAAAGTGTCATTGCTTTCAGATAAAAACTCAGCTGGGAAGTTGCAGCCCCAGGGGGGTAGCTGCACTGCTGCTGCAAACTGATGTCCTGGATGCCAAAAGTGGTGGGACGGGAGGTGGGAGATGCTCAGGAGGTGGGACAGCTTCAGAAAGCGTTTGCTTTTGGCCAAGAGGCAGCAACACAGATGCAAGGGAGCACGGCTGCCTTCCTCCCTCCAAATTTTGGGGGGGATTGGACCTGAATTTCAGAGGGACAAGGTTTGCAAGGCAGCGCCTGTTGACCGGCCCCGCTGCCTGGCTGAGTCTGTCCTCCGTTTCTCCTCCCAGGCCCGGGTGAGAGGAAGATGAAGGTCCTGCTGACGCTGGCGGTGCTGCTTGCCTGCAGTAAGCGCAGCCATTCCCCGACCCAGGGACAGGAGCCAGGCTGCAGCCCCACGCTGATGCAGGGAGCATCCCCAAACCCCCATGCACTCCATGGGGAGACTCCCAGCAAAGCTCTCCTCTCCCCCCCGGCTCCCCGGGCCTCGTTTCTGCATGTAACTTGCAAAAATCACGTTTTCCCGTCACTCTAGGTGTGTTCACGGCTCGTGGGAAGCTCCCGCGCAGGTTCGCACCGGGACTCGATGGAAGCACCGTAGGAAATCTGACCGCCCACGGTTGCTACTCAGGATGGGGCAGCAGTGGCACGTCAAAGGCTTCAACGGACCGGTACAGGCAGCGCTGCCCGGGATGGCTAACGCTGGCCCCGGGACGGCTAACGCTGGCCCCGGGGTAACCCCGGGGCTTGTGAGCAACCCCAGCAGCATCCTCTGAAGCTTTGCAAAATGCAGAGCAGGCGATGGGCAGCAGCAGAAAGGGAACAGGTTTTAGGGAAGGGGGGAAAGCGAGGCGGCGTTCACCCCTAATTCCAGCCCTGTAGTCAGTCGGGTCATGCCAGTGACAACCGGCTGAAGTCAACGGGGTGGCACCACAGGACGGGGACAGTCCCGAAGCCCG